AAGTTATAATTACAAACATTTTACAAGTTTAAAGTCATGATTTAATGAGAATGAAGTCAGATTACCTCAAGAAAAAAGTAACATTACGAGGAGTTGTAATCATAAGAATAAAGTCATAATTAAATGAGAATAAAGTCAGTCGAGCCCATAGACTGTCAGGAAATGCTAAAACATGGGCATGTAATCTGATCAATTTATAAAGATAATGTACGAGTCAAAGGATATTCTCATATGACTTTTGTCCCAATATCTAACAACTTTTTACTTGAAACATTACAAATGTTTTTCTTGAAAAATCTAATTTATCCCATAATATTATGACTTAATTATCAAAACTGTGACTTCATTGTAGTTTTCAGTCTTAACTGGTAAAAATCACTTGAAAAGTTGAGGCACGTATCACTTTGTATTTGTATTTATTTTTTCGTCAATGTCAAAATTCTTATCAAAGGTTTTTGTTAATTTCTAGAGAAGAGTGAAGCAGTTTCACAGGAAAAATATGTGTTGATCAATGTATCATCTGTAAGGTGTCGTGGACAAACACTGTCGAACAATAAAACCACAGAGAGAATAACTGATAAGAATCAAAACTGGATTTCAGCTTTATTTCCTATGGAACAACATCTTTTTGGTTTTTGATCTCATTTTGTCATTCGTTAAAAAAAAGGGGGGGAGGGGGGGGGGGGGGGAGTCAGAGAAATCATGCAAACAAGATCAAGTCAAAATGGGGCCATAAGAGTCTGTTTGGCATGACTGGTTTTGTTTTCCATCAGAATCTGTCAGTCATATTACAGAGGAAATGATTATCATCATCAGAACGTCAGAGCAAGACTCAGTTTGTGTTCAGCTGATTCGAGACGCTGATTTCTTCCAGAAAAACGTTTTATATTTCCAACCAATTGTGGATAAAGTAATGCTGTCTGTTCAAGATTTCCAATTGATAACTTGACATTCAATTTCTGTTTGGGATTTAAATTGTCACCTGAAGAACAGATGAATTTAAATTTAGAGACCTGTTTCCAAGGTGGGTCTTAAATGAAGATTGGATTTAAAAATAAATTTTTTAAAACAAGTTCCTTGAGGCTACTTTGGGTACTTCTACCTCAGTCTGCGAATGTCTACATTTCCAAAAACTAATTAGTACTTACTTACTTTTCTTGTAATTTGGGGTATTTTTCTTTCAAACTACTACTGCTGAAGGACTTTTAGTCTCTAATCATATTTTGGATCCCGACAGATGTGAACATAAAGTGAATTTGCTCAGAGCTCTGGTTCGTATTCACCTTTGTGTTTTAGTCCGATAATTTCACCTCCCTTTAATCCATCATATAAAAATCCCCATAGCTTGTATTTTTCTATATTTACAGCATTGGATCAATCTGTATTCTGAATAAAGACATGTCTCAGTCAGGTGCAAACCGCTTTTACTTTTGGTAACATGAACAGGTCTGTAAGAGTTTGACGAGCAGTTGTTCGGTCCTGTAGAGCTGCCAACACCTCCCAGACTTTAGGATTTATTATCACATCACACAGTTGAAGAGGTTTACTATAAATGGAGATAAACCTGATGAATTTGAAATATAGGAACATGTTTTATTATGCAACACTTGATGATCTGCAGCTAACACATCAAGTTTTGGGAATAAACTCTCCATCTGTGAAAATGTGAAACTACTTTGTCACTCAGTACGTTTACATGACATCAGAGAACATTGATTTATTGTGTCAGTCCGACTAAAACTGGACTTTTAAAATACATGTATCTTACTGAAGTGAATTTCTCAAAGTTGCACGATTGGGAGTTGAATTCCTCCTGCATGTATACAGTCAATCAGACCCAAACTGGCCGAGGCGCTCTGAGCATGCTCCACAGTTTCTGCCCTGGGCTTTGACCCGGAAGTCCAATAGCATTAAATGTATAAGAGAAGAAGAAGCCGGTAACAACATGGAGAAATCTACATCCAGAGCCGTGACTTTTTGGACGGATGAGGAGATACAGAATGGTGATTGTTTGGTCCGTGACGTAATACGTCAACAGGAAAAAGATCCAAAACTAACAAGCTGAGAGGAGGCATATCTGCACCTATCATAGAGGAGTCGCACACAGTTGGGTCAATAAATGGATTCTCATCTCAAGCTATAACCGTAGCTCGACTTCACTGTGCACGTAAACGTATGGAAGACATGGAAACACAGGTTAACAATAGGTTATTTTTATTTTTATGAATTGCTTCCATTTTCCTGGTTGTAACTTCAGAATTCATCTGCAGACTTTTATATATTGACTGATAGTTGCATCTGTTTAAAAGTATTGGCAGAACTGCAAATGAAATAAGTTCACAAAATTAGACAGAGTGTATGAAAACTGTTAAATAGTCAAAGAATCCAGTAAACAAGAAACATGTTGGTGTGGAGGTTCTGTAGGACAAACTGATACTTATGCTGATTGGATTGTGGAGCTAAGCAGCCAATCACAGAAGTAGATCAACGCTGCAGATAAGACACAAGTTGAGTTTCCATCCAAATGTAGCACATTTTATAGCGAGTATTTACACATAACTTGTACATGTTCTAGTTGTGCAGATTTTCCACCTCTAAAATAAATAAATAGACTGATCCTGAGTGTCAGTGACTGATGCTGCTCCAGAACTCTTACAGACGTTTGTGTGATTAAAGTAAAAGCAGTTTTTCCTGCAGTGAAACATCTTTTTGAGTTTTGGTTTGGACTGTAGATTTACATCCAGCAGGTTCAACACTCTGTTGGTCTTTGGGAAGAGAAGTTACAGATTATTATCATTAAAGCTTTTTTAACTCTCAGGCACAAAAACCTTTTTGGTGTTCATGTTATAATAACTGTGCTTTAACCCTCACTCGTTTTAATACAAAGTGTATCGTAATGACACGGGACTATTTACACATCTGAGATTGCTTGTGAATGGATTCAAACTTGAATCGCGTAGCAAATATACTCTATGAGACAAACACGAATCATGAGAGAGAGATGAGAAAGTATTTTTTTAAAACCAGAAACATTTGCCCTTTTTGGAACTGATGGTGTTTGTGCCTAAGATGATCAGACGTCATCTTTACCTGTTATCAAAAAAGAAGAAATGTAAGAAATGTTGACCCTGGAAATGTTTGAAACGGCAAGATGAAAAAACAAACAAACAAACTGGCTTTAACCCAAATACATTTTTAAACACATGCTGTGTCAACTTCATATTTAACGCTTTATGAACTGTGGGATTATTTCTATAAGAAATCACGTCCATTATCTCTTCAGTATTTCCCTCCTGTCTCTGCCATCTCTACATCTGACAACATCAAAAATTAAATAATCAACATTTCAAAACAAAAGTGCCCGAAGCATGATATGAGCAAGAAGATAAATATAATTTATGTTTGTTTTGTCCTTTCTTTTGGGATTTTTTTCTTGTTTCTTTTTTTTACAATACATACTCCATGTCATTTTATTTGTTCATTTTGTGATGTAAAACTGGAGCGTCGTCCTCAGACGTCCGTGTTGTTGCTCGTTGTGCATTCTCAGTCTGTTTGCTTTGGTCGCGCCCTCCTTTGGCATCGCTGTTGCAAATAAGAAAAAAAAAAAAAAAAAAAAAAAGAGAGAAACCGAGAAGTAAAGCTACAGACAGACCGATCAGTCTGCATTTTTTGGTATTTCATTGTTTTTGTCCCGGTTTCAAGAAAGAGTTTTCTTTGGAGGGAATCCTGACTGGATTCCCCAAAAAGTCTCCAATAAATATCCTCATCCAAAAGAACTTTAAGTTTGTGAGTCCAACTATTTCGTCTTGAAGTTCTTCTTCTCTGCTGGGAAAATAAAAGGATCTTTGGTTTGGTTGAATCAGGATTCTCTCCAGCAGGATGAATGTGGCTTCAAAGTCTCTTCTCTGCAGAAGTCAGTCAGTCAGTAAAGTCAAATCTGTCAGCAGTCAGACTGTGGTCACACTGAGACAGCTAAATGTGAAAATGCTCCATTTTCAGGTGGTTTTCCTAAAAACTTCCGTCCACACTGAAACACCAGGACAGCAGGAAACAGAAAAATCTCTGTCTTCGTATTTTGGTCAGAAAACTGTGGCTCACAGCTAATGTTTGTCGAGCATCAACACAATAAAGACCATTTCATAAATAAGTCATTCTCATCTACACATTTTATTTCTGCTGTCAGAAACTACACTAAAAGTATAAAACAGGGCGGCACACTGTAATCATAATCAGAAATGGTCATTTTTACTGCAACATTTACGAGGCTCTGTACTAAACAAGCCTCTTCCCTTACGTCCAGAATAGGGCTGCCCCCTAAAAGTCGTTGGCCCAATCACAGCCGACAGATATCTTTCCCTTCTTCTGTAAATATTCAGTCTGATAAACACGGAAAGGTCGATCATGTTAGTGCAGGGCTACCCAGAGCTTTACATCTGTCCCACGGACGATCGGCCTACACACTTATAAACAGCTCCTGGAAGAAGATCAGCTCTGCACCTGCCGGCGCACTCTTGAAAGCTGGCACAGAAAAGGCACAAGAGTGGCACCCAGTGCCGGACCTCACGTTTTCCAGGTGGTTAAAGACGCAGCATGTGTACAGCCCCTAATTTCCAGGGCTGGTACCTGCGGTTATTCCACAGGCTAGTTAATAACATGTCGGGCAGGAAATCCAAAGTGTGGGATCATTTTGAGAAGGTGAAGGACGAACCCAAGGTGATATGTAAACTCATCTTCATTGGTCGACTACAAACATGACGTATCATCTGAAACATGGAAGTAGCTACATGCCCATTAGCCCACAGCGTCATTAACAGGCGGCTCGCTCAGTGTGTGACGTGCACTTGGAGATAAAATATAGGCCTATATTAATGAAGGTTCAGGACATTAGAAAGTGTCACATTTATCTTGCAAGTGTTTGATTTTTCCCCACATGGAAATTCTGACCAATCAAGAGCAGCTTTCTCACACAAGGCATTTTTAATGCTGCCGTGAGAACACAAACCAACTCTAGGCAGTTACGCAACTTGCAGCGTGTTTCTGTGTTTGGTTGTGTTTTCTCAATTTGCAGTATTTTTCCTAAATGCTGCGCACGTACTGTCAAACTGGGGAAAACCTTTTCATAATCTGCTTGTCAATTTTCATGTGTTTTCTTGAGTTGCAGTGTGTTGAGCTCTCTGGGCCACCGTAGTTTTGCTCCTGGAAAAAGGGACTGTTGGTGTGGACTGAATGCTCGGACAGCAGCACTCACACTGTCACTACAGCTGCAGCTGAAGTTGCTTTTGATATGACGTCCCGGTAAAACATCAAGTCGGCTTTTTCAGATTAATCTGCTATGGGAAAAAAAAAATTCCATTGAGGAAATCAGCGGTTTCATGTGGACGGAGAGTCAAAACAAAAAGATGCATTTTCATATTTAGTCTTAATGTGGACGTGGTGTTGGTCAGTAAACAGTCTGGGTGTTAATCCACCTCGATGGACTCGCTGCTCTCATTCACAGGTTTACACTCGTTGGGAAGTCGCTGGTGGCGGCTGAGCTGAGTCGCCTGTGTGAAGCTGCGGTCGCAACGCTCGCACCTGACACACACACGTATACAGAAACACACACACACACACACACACATTCAGGAGAAACACAAAAAGACAAATAAGAGACAGAGATTAGTTTAAGCTTGTAGGGAAGGTCGAAAAAACACAACACTGTTTGAGACTTTAAACAGCACAAAGACACACACAGACACAACCTTCAGATCTGTCAACACACACACCCACACCCACACACACACCTACACTTACACACACACACACACACACACACACACACACCTCTCTGTTAACTCTAATATCCAGTGACAGTATAAAGTGTGTGTGAGGCCCAGCGGAGCAGCAAGCTGTAATTGTTGCCCTGATCTTCACAACCTGACCGACAAATTACACACACACACACACACACACACACACACACACACACAGTCCACCTGTCAATAATCTATCAAGTGGTCTGGGGAGGGTATTCCCATCTCACACACACTTTTACACACACACACACAGCAGCACAGACAGGCCTGATAAAACAGCGTCACTGTCACTTTCAATAGAAAGAGAGAAGAGAGGGAGCTTTTAGTCTGAGATGGAGGGGAGTTAGGGGCAGTTAAATGTGTATGAATGTGTGTGTGTGTGTGTGTGTGTTTGGGGGGGGGGCTTCAAAGAGAAAGCTGTGTTGAGGTATTGGACTTAGCAGCCCTGAAACAAGACTAACATGCTGTTAAATAGATAGGAGGAGGAGGAGGGAGGGACGGAGGGAGGCGGTGTTAGTTAGATAAGGTGAGAGACACATTTTTTGTATCGCAGCTCAGTGTGGACTCAACGATGGTCATTTGGAAGCAATTTAACCGGCAGCCTTGCTAATTAAATGTGGTAAACACAGTAGAAACCAACAGTCTGTGTTAATGAGTTACTCACTTGGTTAATGTTGACTTTTTGTAGGAACCAGACGTGTTATATTATGTGTCAGTGGAAAAAAATGGTGACTTATTGGCCACGCAGAGATTTGTTTCTAACTCTTTTTGGAATTTCAGTGTGTCCAGAAGTAATCCCTCGTACCTGTGCTGCTTAATAACCAAGATAACAAAATCTAATGTTGGAATAAAATTACAACTGGAAGGGTTTAACACAGTGAAGGAATATCTCACCTGATGCAACAATACAGCTTATCTATGTTTTTTTATATCACCAGGGGCGCTGCCAGGGATTTTGGGCCCCATGAAAAGAATTTTTACTGGGCTGTACACACAGCTGGCCGGGAGGCAGCTGAAAATTTTTGATATTTTACATAAAACTATGCATTTTGATGGTATTTTTGAAAAAGACATTTGTGAATAAAGAACAATCTCTTCCTCCACTTCCACATTCCTCCCTGACAAACTTGAGGAGGATCCTGGACCTGGCTCTGTAGAGTGTACGTTACAGGGCTGACACAAAAAATTCAAAGCTCTGAATCTTCGTTCGATGGCACGGGATTTGATTGTGGAAAAAAAAAAAAAAAAACGAATATTCTGCCTTTTTTCTCTCCCATTTTTTGGGGGGACCTTGAACGCAACACCATCTCCAACAAGGAAATAGAAAGCCCGACGTGCAATGAATGGAGACCTGTTATCCTGCTTGAACACAGACGACTAAATTCTTTCAACAATGTGACTCAAAATAATGTTAAAATAGATTTTATTGATGTAAAATAATATGCTGATGGTGACATTTTCCACCAGTCCACTGCGCTCTGAGTCTGGTGTCAGTGACACATGCGGCTCTGAGTCGCGCATCTGTCTGCTTGCGCTGCAGTGAGCGCCGAGGGTTTTAATTTTTAGTGTTAAATCAAAAGTTAAACACTACTTATCAGCAACCAGAAGTGTTTTTTGTTTGTGAATATTTTTATCTTAATTCTAGAGTTGCGAGAAACAACCTTTTCACCATAATTTGTAAGTTATTAGTTAGTTTTCGCTCAGCAAAAAAACAAACAAACAAAAAAGTTGTTTGCTTGCTCATCCCTAACTAAAATGATCACCTTCTTCTGAATATTAACTTATTAATCTATAAGCTCCTTATGGACCAGGGACACAGTTAATATTCCATAACTTTCCACCACATGAACCACTAACAAACCCACCTTGCTTTTTGAAATACTGGGTGACATACTCTCGACCCTTTGCTTCTTTCTCCTCTCTTAGCTTCCTTTCTTTCCGTTTTCGGCTACCTGATTTTTGAGGCATATTGCCGTCTCCGCCTCCTTACCCGCTGTCTGTGACAAATTACGGTGCACTGCCGCTGATCCAGTCGGACTGAACCATTTTACATAAATAGAGAGGGGGGGCGTTAATGTTTCCAAAACAAATAAAGTTATTGTTAGCAGTACATTGTAAATAAAATATATTTGTGATTATAAGTTAGTTAATAACTTAGTGTCATATTATTTTTTGTCAGTATTATAATTTTATTAGGGGCCTCTCTGGGCCCCTCTTAATCATGGGCCCCTAGAATCCTTCTCCTTTTTCCCCCCTTTTCGGAGCCCCAGCGTAGCACCCCCAAGAAATGTTCAAACAAAATTTCCTTTTTTCACTGTCACTGAATAAAACTGTTTTTGTTCAATTGTGTGACATTATCTGGTGGTCATATTATTAATAGGCTATCTATGAAAAGGCTAATGCATCAGTTAGTGAACATACCATAAATAATGTATTATCAGGCACACGATAATACATTATTTATGGTACGTTAGGTAGGTCCTGCCCGAGCGCAGCATCTCTTGCCTCCAGCGTTCGAAGACATACCTGAGGAACAGCAGTGGCCATACGCGCAACAGTAACACCACGAGGACCAAAGATCTGGACGCAGATAAAATCATCGATGCCTTTGCCGGCAATGGCCCGTGAAAATATGTGCGCGCTCTCTCTCTCTCTCTCTCTCTCTCTCTCAGGTGCTGCTATATCCAGGGTTGCCTCATGATTGAAGCTCCTCTGTCACAGTCCAGCAAAATTAAAATAAAGATGTGTTGTTGGTGGTCCCTCTAATTCCACAGTGTGCATGATTTTTTGTTGATTTGGACTCTGCGTGCTTATATTGGTAGGTTATATCCACAACTCCTTAGCACCTCCAATTAATAGTCAAGCTCCCCCCCAGCACCTCCAGTAACAATCGGCTGCCGCGGCCACTGTCCGTCACATAGCAACATTTGGTCATGGACTTTCCACGTTGAGATATGATATATTTTTTCCTTCAACAACAAACGCAGGTGGTTACATATGGCCAACACTGTGGCTGGGTTCAGGATAGACTAACAGGGTTTGGCTTTGCTATCTTACGGGAAATAAGCACGACCTCACAGGTTAAAGTCGGTAGTTGCTGGACCCATCCACCACCCCTCCCATCCACCCTACTCAGACTTCCGCCTCCTTAAGTTGTTGTCCAGCCGTGTCTGGCTGTATTTCCCCCGGACGCCACAAATCATGCCGACATGAAAGAATGTTTTTTTCATCTGTGTCGGCAGTGGTATTCAACAATTTCAGAATGAGACTGAGTTGGTTTTTAATAGTATATTGACGACAGTGGCAGAAGCTGTGTCATTCTGTGGCTACACACGCAGTACTTGTTACTTGGATTGATTTTTCTTTTGGTGTCTTAATAAAATAACCCCTTTTACTTTAAAAGTCTTTCTAACGTGCACAGAGCATTGCAGAGACTATGGAAGATTATCACGTTTTTCAACATGTTGTAAATTTCATGAACTGCCCAGGTCTGCTCGATTTTGCGAGGCCTGCACTCATTGACTCGTTTTTTAATATGTCTGGTGCTTCATTGCCAAGTGGCACGGCAAATAAATTTGCATGTGAAGTAGTGAATATGTGAGGGTTTTGTATCACTGCTAATATGTTAGCTTCCTTCATTTTGGACTCTCCAGGTCAGCATGGTGGAGACAGTTTACTTTTCAGAATCAGAATCAGACAAGGATGTATTGCCGAGTAGGTTTTCACTTATAAGGAGTTTGTTTTTGTTTTTTTGTGCATACATAAAAAATACAGTAAACATATTAAGAGGAGTACGAACACGCCAAAGTCCTGCAACACTCAAGAACATGAATATAGAATAGAAAATGTGCAGTAAAAACAACCCAGTCTCACTTCAAAGTCGGCAAATAGCGGCGCTTGGTCAATGACTACTGGCGTCAGACACTGATAAAAAAAGCACAAAAAACGTCCTTTCACATCAGCATGATACGTGGTTGGTCATTGTCATTGTTTAACAGCACTCTGCGGCATCAGGGGGAAATGCAGCTGGACAACAACGTAAGTTAAGGGGGCAGGAGAGTAGGTGAGGTGGTGGATGGGTCCAACAACCACCGACTTTCACCAGGGAGGCTGGTTTTCATTTCCCATGATTGTAAAGCCAAACCCTGTTCTTTTGTCCTAACTGTTGGAGGAGGCTGAAGTTGACACGGCATCCCAGAACGTCATCACACAAAGCACTCAGGGTACCTTGCATGTCATATGACGATGTGAAAAGTCAATGACCAAACATCCTTGATATGTGACGAGGTCAGAGTGAGAATGTGTTGTAAAAATATGAATAATATACAAGTGAGGTGGCATCATCGATCCACCAGATGTTTTGTGATGCTAGCAGTATCCAGACCCTCCCAGAAAAAGATGCAATTTTACATGACAAACTTTACTAAAGTTCAATTCCACACTAAAGTTTTTTTTTCTACACAAAGTTTAAGGGTCTTCATAACAATCACTGATAAGCCCAAACATATTCAGAGTACATGGTGAGCAACTAAAGTCCAATAAGCCATAATTTTGTTGAAGTTTGATGTTTACAAACAAAAAATAAAAACCAGGATGAGAGAAACTGTAAGATCTTCGCTTTACACGACTGATGTGAGTGAATGTTATAATGTAATAAAACAGGTTGAAGTATTCTTCAGTATTCACATGAAAGCAGAGCGCTGTCCAAATGTGTGCGTGCGGCCTCTCTCAGACTTGTAAACAGCAGTATTCTCTCTGGAACGACTTTCAGCAGACGGA